ATAATATTAAGAACAACATTTATTAAAAATTATATTTATTAAAAAACTTTTTTTACATACAATTAAGTAGAAGAATTTTATTTTTATTTTTAGGAAATACTTTCATACTAAATAATTTATCTTATTAAGATGTGTTCTATTGGGTTAATGACATCAGATGCTTGCGAAGGCCAACAAGATGTTATTGAAACTTTAAGCAATGAAGAAAAAATAATTATATCTTTACGCTGTAATATTGAATTATCAAACTTAGAAATATTATGTGAAAGACATAATACAAAATATTTGAAAATGTATCCTATATGGCAGAAAGCTTGTTGTGATCCATTCAATAGACATACAAAGAAAATCACAAGTATGTAGCTGTAAAATTTAAATATTTCATTAATTTATGTTTTTCAAAAAATAAACGAAAGTTTTGAACTAATGTGCAGACATACTTTATACAATTCAATTACTTTTAGAAAATCTTGGCGTAGTTACAATAAAAGAGTCACAAGTCATGATGAGAAATTGTTTGAATATTCCTCCTGGGAAAAAACTTTGCAAACCTTGTAAACAAAAGATTGCCAGAAAAAAAAAACTTACAGAAGAGGAGCAAAGTAAGAGTGAACAAGATGAGGATTTTCTAATATCACCATGCAAAAAAATAAGACAGGAGATCAATAAAGAACTCAAAAATTTTAGTTTATCTCCTCTAAAATCTCATTCAAAATCATTAAAACATATACTGTCAGATGGAAAGCAAAAAGTTGCATGTATCAACGAAATGGCATATAACGCTACTAGAAAAATTGAAACTCAATTTTCCTCAAAACTATGTTATGAAACCAATGGGTTGAAAAAGAAGGCTGCAAACTTTGATGAAATTATGAGCTTGGTAAAAGAAAAAATTCTATGTTCTGACAAACGAACTATTGTTCAACTTCTAACACTGGCACCCCCAAGTTGGTCAATATTAGAAGTACAAAATAACTTTTCGGTTACAGAATACCAAGCCAAGATGGCTAGAAAAATTTTTAATAAAAAAGGATTGTTAGGTATCTCTGTAAAGTCTTACATAAAGAAATAGAAGATTCAGTTAAATTGTTTTATGACTCAAGTGATTTATGTCGAACTATGCCTGGAAAAAAAGATTATTTCAGCATTCAAAAGAACGTCCACAAACAAAAAAAACTGCTTTTGTGTAATTTAAAGGAACTATATGTATTATACAAAGAAAACAATCCAGAAATACAAATAAGTTACTCAAAATTTGCTTCACTTAGACCAAAGTGGTGCATTTTGCCAGGTGCAAGTGGTACACATTCTGTTTGTGTTTGTTCTTATCACCAAAATGCCATTTTGCTAGTGGATGCCTTAAATATTGAACTAACGTATAAGGATTTACTTTTGAAAACTGTTTGCTCAGTAGAAAACAAAGAATGCATGCTTGCACAGTGTGATAATTGTCCTGGTAAAGAACTGCTCACCATGTATTTGTATGAGATTTTTGGAGAATACGAAGATGATTTTGAGGTACACTACAAACAATGGCAAACTACTGATCGTGCAACACTATTGAGTTTAACAACAGATGTTCCAAACTTTGTAAATTAGGAATAATTTATTTTAATTGAATTTATAAATATTTTTTAGGAATTTCTTAAAAAAGTTATACATCTTTAAAATTAAAGTTCTATATGTTTCAGTTTTTTTTCCAGTTAGATTTTTTGTGCCTAGTAAGATTATAACTAGCTTAAAATATTGAAAGCAAACAAAAAAAAAATTTGACGGGGGTGTTTTGAGATATTGGGCCCTAAAGTTAGATTATATAAACTAGTTGATTTATTAATTTTTAAGAATGTTCCTCTAACATTTCAGCATTTTAAGTACATTTATTGAATTCAGCATTAAAAAACCATTATAAATGTATATTTTTATATTTTTGCCATTTTTATTTCTTATTTTATTGAGGAAAACAACTTTTCAGAATGTTATGAAAACCGGGTCATTTTGAGAAACCAGGTCGAAATTAAATTTGCTGTATCTTGTCAACCGCTTGACATTTTTAGCTGAAATTTTGCATGCAATTTTTTTTTATAAATAGGAATCATGTGTCAAAATATAAAACAAAAAGAAGACACATGGTTCAATGGAGTGGGTGATTTGATGTGGAATTACCCCACATTTAAAATAAATTCAACAAACTTCAATGTATTGTAGTCAATTTGCTGATTAGGTTGAATACTTTGAATACCAAAAAAAAAAAAAAAAACATGGCTGTTATATTAAAACCTTCACTTGCTTGTCTATAGCTAATAGTATCTATAGATTCTGGGTTAAATTAATGATAGCTCCTAGTCTCGGGAATTGTTCTAGCTGAAAAAGTTTTTTTAAATGTTTGCACAACTCTATCAGACTTTCTTTTTCAATCTTCAAAAAAATAATTTTTTTAAATATTATTTATACATTAGTTAAACAACTTGCTGTTAAGGTTTTAGCATTAAAAAATATCAACTTTTTTTAATTCAAAAAGTTTTAAATTATACAATGTAAAATCCTGCTAAAGTCATTATTTAGATGGATGATTGTTTTCAATCCATATACTTGCAAATCAAAAATCTTATAAAAATATGTACCTTCTTTAAACATTTTAAGAAAGATCATTGAATAGAGAATGATCAATAACTGTGTGGAACAAGTATAAACCAAAAAAATTCTGGAGACAATATTTTTAAAGATACTTCATTAAAAATGCAAAAAAATATATTTCTTTGATAAAAGTGAGGCATGGCCCCTAGCCTTATAGAACCTCTGCTCTGAAAACAATATTAATACACATTCATCAGGACTACACAAATGCTGAAAGTTTCAGAGCTCCAGTTTGTCTGGAAAATAGTGAAAAATCTATCACCAGATTCTGCTACAAAAAAGTGGGCCCATAACCTAGCCCCCCCCCTGATGTCTTGGGGCCTGGAAACAACTTAAACACGCATGTTCATCTACACTACAGAAATGCCAAAAATTTCAGAGCTCTAGTTAGTCTTGGAAGGTAGTAAAAAATCAAAAGTGAGGACTATGTCCCATTATCCATATATGGAAATCCATATACTTGCAAATCAAAATCAATTGCAATAACCTGCTACAAAAAAGTGGGGATCATGCCTTATTGTCCATATATGGGAATCCATACAGTTGCAGATCAATATCCTTATGTTTATTGAATGATCAATAAATATAGAATGATGTGTAAAAAAAATTTTTGATATCATGAAAGCAACATGGATTTTTTTTTACCATCAAAATCAGCTATATAAAAAATTGCCTTAATTAATTTAAATTGATGAATACAGGTAACTAAAAATAATTTTTTACATTTCTGATCAGTTCATTGGATTCATCACCCATGAAAATAGCCAGGTACAAATTTAAAAAAAAAAAAGATTAATTTTTTTAAAGTTATGTGACTTGAAACCTCTAAATAAACATTTAAATTTTGAGGCGACATAAGGGGCCTAGCAAACATCTGTTAAAAATAAAATTGTCTTATTTAAAGAACTTCTTGGAGCCAGAAACTAAAATTTTCAAGGAATTCTTATTTTACTAAGTACTCTTATCAATATCAGCAAAATCTGAGATATATAATGATATTTTTAAAAATTTCTAGCTCATTTGACATGAAACTCCATACGATAGAGTATAAGCATTTAAAAATTTTACTTGATGATTGTCTTCACGCCCGTAGCCAGAATATTTTGAAGGGGAACTTTTTTTAAAGGCGCCAAATAGGCATAAAAATTGCATACAATAATTCACAATGGAGAGAATGATATAATTTTAAAATGCAACAAAATAATAATTAGAAAACCAAATTAAGTAAAATACAATAAAATATTGCATTAAAAATCAGTCTTATATGATTAAGGATGGCAGCTCCATTCTTCTTGGATGGAGAGGGAATTAGATAGTTGTTCAAGCTGAGTATTATGTCTGTGTTTTAATTCTAATACAACTTTCTGTACTTCTTTGTATGTGTTAACCATGTCTTGTGTTCGGCCTTGTGAAGAAATAGCTGTGAAGAAATAGCTGTGGCGCTCAGATATGATCTCAATCTTAAAATCTTATTCTTTTATCAGCTTGACCAATCTTTATCTTTACTGGTGTATACATTCAGATGCAATTTATTGGCGATAACTTCACACAAAATAACAATCTAACATAGCACATCATAAAAATAATGAAAGCCATCAATATTTTCTACCCTTCTTGTAATACAGATATTCAGGAAACTTTTTCTGTGAGCAGTTTCGGCTTCATTTTTTTATTGTTTCAATTAGCAGTTTTTCTCTCTTTGGTGAAATGTTAATCCATAATATGATAGCCTTTAATTTGTCTAAAACGTTATGTATTTGCGGAATAGTGCAGGTATGGGATATAACAAGATTTAGGCAGTGACTTAGACAATGTCCATTTAATGCTTAGCTATTGTCTGTCAAAATAGCCTTTGCCAAACCGAATCGCATGTTTGACAAATGAACCTTAGCCAAGAAGATTTTCAAGGTCTAATCCATGATTTATGAGCCATTTTTTTGTCAAATAATATTAAGCATGACCTGTATTTCTGTTAGTTGGAATAACATCAAGAACTTCTTCTCAAATAACATTTTTAAATTCAACAAATCGAATTGAAATCGCCAGCTTTTCCTTATTGTGTAAAGATACTTCATTTATCAGAATAGTATAAAATTTTGAGTTTTTTTATTTCTAAGAGAACCCCAGCTTGAATCATATGATAACCAACAATCTCAATAAGTTCATTTTGGACTGTTCCAGAAAGATATGTAGCATTATTTTAATGTTGTAGTAATTCTGAAATATGTCTTGCAAATAGTTTAAATAAACTTATTTTTTAAGAAAGCAGTGAGCCATTTGTCCCACCCGTATTTACTAAATATTTACTAAAATAACTATTAAATTAAATGAATATTCCAATTTTTAAATTTTCATTAACCAGCTCTGATTTTTATTATTCAAGTAAAATATTGCAACATTTGAAAGACAAGAATAGGACAAAGCAGGGGTATATTCATAATATATTTTAGCTATTTATGCTATTTTCTATGCCTGCAAAGTGAATGTAATTTATTATATTTTTCAAATTAAGTATTATTTCAACAGGTTACTGCAAGTGTTAAACTAATTTTTAACACATAATTTTAATATCTGCTACAAGTGGTTACTCTGAGTTTCCAAAACTTTTTCTTATACTGTGTGATTTAGCAACTTTGACCATCAATAACTCAAAAATTGTTAATTTAAAAACAACTGCAAAAATCTATTATTTGGATGAAAACCTTTTTTACTTACAAAGTTAAGATCAATCAAAAAATATATAAAATCCACTGTAAGCTCCAAATACTCAAATTTTTTTGATTTTGCTCAATTATGAAGCAATCATGACTTTTAAATGGTTTGTTCAATCGAGCTTAAATTTTTATTCTTTCAAGTCTACATAAATCAAAAACGGGACAAAATAAAAATCATTATGATACTGGGACAGATGGTACGAAACCTTGACAATCTCAGTCAAAACAAAATGGTAAGCATATACATATATATATATATATATATATATATATATATATATATATATATATATATATATACATGTATATATATATATATATATATATATATATATATATATATATATATATATATATATATATATATATATACATATATATATATATATATATATATATATATATATATATATATATATATATATATATATATATACATATATATAAATATATACATATATATAAATATATACATATATATAAATATATACATATATATATATACATATATATATATATATATACATATATATATATATATATATATATATATATATATATATATATATATATATATATATATATATATATATACATATATATATATATATATATTTATATATATATATATATATATATATATATATATATATTTATTTATACATTTATATATATATATATATATATATATATATATATATATATATATATATATATATATATGTGTATATATATATATATACATATATATATATATATATATATATATATATGTATATATATATATATATATTTATATATACATATATATATATATATATATATATATATATATATATATATATATATATATATATATATATATATATATATATATATATATATATATATATATATAATATTTGGACTATTATTATAATGTTATTATAACATAATATAGATTACAATATATTATTGTATTACATATTATTATTATAATAATAAATGGATCATATAAAAACCTCAACTTCTTAACAGTATTATTAAGAAATCAAGAAATCAAAATTTTAATACAAAACTTGGCATTTAATCAAAAATAAACTGGTATAAACAATTTGACAATTAAACTGGTATAATAAACTGATATAAAATCACTTTTAACCACGGATGGAAGGATGTCACACCGTAGTTTAAAAAACCTGCCGGACACTAACCAAAGACCACTTTAAATCGACGTTACTTTAGTACAAGGCGAGTTATTTTAGTACTAGAATATTTTTGTTCTGGTATATAAGGGCCGACAGAAACGCTTATAAAAACATAAAACAAATACATAAACAAAAAATATGATAAAGAAAACATATGAGTAACCATTTAACCGAGCCACGTTAAATAATCATCCATGTACCTAGGACCATACAAGCTATCTTTCTACATCATACGGAGGTAGGATGTCGAAAAAAAAGAAATTGTAATTATCATTACTTTTAAAAAAAGAAGTTAAAAAGTTAACAATAAAAAAATGTTAAAAAATAAAAGCTTGGAAAAAGTGTACAAAAATAAAACATCGTTTTATAACAGAGCATTGCGAGTCTTGCTAAAGATAAAGTATTGTGAAGAGCAGTTGTTAGGCTATTTTCCAAGGTTAATCATTATTATTTTAAAAGAATAACAAAATTTGCGCCAACTTGCCTCATGGAGCTACTTGTTGATATTAGTGAAGATTTTTTTTAAGAAAATGACCAAAGCATTTAAATGCAATATTGAAAGGAAATCTTTTTCATGATGTAACAGCTTTTAAGTGTGATAGATTGGCTTACATTAGTTGACTTATTTTGGCAAGCATAATTTTAAGCCTAAGAATGCAGAGATCTTAACGCTCCTTGCAACTTAGGTGACACTGGTTTATCTTCTAATGTTCTTTATGATCAGTACTAGACCAGTTTTCACTTCAAACTTATCGTTGGTCCAATTCAATCCATTGAGAGTTTCTCAGTTGGAGATGATGTGCATACCCAAAGTTGTGAGAGAGTAGTAAAATTAATAACTGATTCAGTCTGTGGAAAAAATCGAGAAATAATGCTTTTGTTGAAATTTAAAAAATTGAAAAAATAAAAAAATAATCATATGGTATACCCCCAAAGAAAAAAAAAACTTTAGGAGAGGAGGATTAGAGACAATCCAAGCATCTTTTATTAACGTTACCTTTAGAAGTACATTAGACTCGCCAAATAAATAATCAATTTTAAAAAATACTACTTATTCGCGTAAACATTCCTGGCCCAGGATGACCAGGATGACCCATGTGATTCCTGGCCCAGGAATCACATGGGTCAATAGCAATTTTATTTATTATATTATATGTGGTTTGTTTTTAATTATAACGTTCTAATATGTAATATTAGTTATGTGAAATCTTTTAAAATTAACTGTATTATCTATTAATAAGTAGAAAAGATTATTTTATTCCATAACTTTAAATTCCGCTTTCTGGTAGTTAGTTGTTAACATTTTTCAGAAGTATTATCAGAACTGAATTCCTCATACCCAAATGAGCCAAAGACATTTAAATCCATTAAAACTATTGTGAATATTTAAATCAAGTCTTTTTAAATAAAATTTTATATCTTTCAGCACCCGGTGGGAAATCGGTTAACGAATAGCTAGCTATAGTCGTAACAATTAAGACAGCTTTTTTAAGTTAGCGAAAAGCTATCGATATTTGTTAAAAAAAAGACAGCAATTTGGCTACGATGACAGTTAGCTTAATAAGCTAAAGACCCACTGGCCATTGCAGCTAGCGTCATATTGTAATAAAATTGATGTCTAGAATATTTTAATATGTCCCAGCTAGCACACTTACGTTGAGCCAACGAATGTAAACACATCGCCAACGTCGGCTGTTTTCTCCGATACAAATACAACGTTGATCCAATGTTAATTTTATCGTATTTATATTAATAAAGGCCTTAATAACGACAAGATTAAAAATGGTCCAACTTATAGAAAAACATCACAAATGGTAGTTATTTTTCTGATCTAAACCCAACGATCCAATGTATAAGGATCAACGTTAATTCAATGTATATGGATCAGCGTTGACCAGATGTGTATAACCTCACGTTGAATCAACGTATATGAATTAACGTTGATCCAATGTTTTTAATTCAACGTTAATCCAATGTGTGTAGTTTAACGTTGGATTATATCCCAGCTAGCACACATACGTTGATAAAACGTTAGAACAATGTTGCGCGTTGCGTTGGCCCAATATCGACCGCCAACGTTTTTTTAAATATCATTTCGTTTAATTTCATTTTTTCGCAATTAAACTTATTTATTTTATATATTAGTATATATATATATAAAAACACATTAAATATTATATATTTAAACTTATACTTGCAAATATTAACCATTTTGATGGATTGACATTGCTGAAGTCGTTTAATTTGTACTGAATATAGCTAAAGTTTGCATCTGAATAAAGACGCATTATCCATGTTTGTTTTGCTTGTAGCTTGATATTTTGCTATATAAAAAAAAGAAAAATACATTAGCAAAATATATTTTCATCATCAACTGAAATATTTGAATTAAAAATAGTTCTAATAAGTTATACAAATATATTCTTGCATATCTGTCAAACACAATGTTGATCCACTGAATATAATCCAACGATATTCCAATGTATATGAATCAACGTTGATCCAATGTATCCCAGTTAGTTGTTAGTTACACCTACGTTGGGTCAACGTATACAAATAAATTGCCCTTTTAGGTTGGTGAACACGTTTCAAAAATAGAAAAACAGAGAAAAATAGCTTCATGTTTACCCCAAGTTTAGAGTAAATTGATTGATCATTTAAATGAAAAAGTTAAAAGAAAATAATTTTGAGAATTAAATATTGCAACCAAATGCTTCCTATAAAAAATAAATGGTGAGATTATTAGATATATTCAAGTAAAGGATGGTGAATGCATAATTGCTAAAACTTTTAGCTAAATTGCTAAAACTTTTTGCTTAATTTCTAAAACTTAGTTGTTAAAACTTTCAACAGAGATTACACAGGATTGGAAATGATATTAGCATAAATGATTGCAAAGGACAAAGCCATTACAGTGGTCTAAACATGGTTAAAAATTTTATGGGGTTCAAACTCACTTGCTTGTGATTCTCAAGCTCTACATCCAGATGGGAAATATTGAATTATATGCTGACAATTTTATTAAAAGGATACAAAATGGTCTGCATAAAAAGATATAATTACTACCTTTTACATTCAAATATATCGCGTTTTTACTGTTTTTCAAGATATAATTAATGACACAAACTTGAATTCTGAAACTATTCAATGTGCGAGTGACCTTCTCAAATAAACTAATTGTTTAACATATTTTTTATTATTGATAGAGAAATTTCTCTTACCCGGCTAGCACATCTACGTTGGTAAAACGTTAGAGCAGTGTTGCGAGTTGGCACAACATTTATTTACGTTGCATTCAATGTTTATCGGAATTAGTTTTTGTATTATCTTTTAAAACTTTACATATACATATACATATACATATATATATATATATATATATATATATATATATATATATATATATATATATATATATATATATATATATATATATATATATATATATATATATATATATATATATATATATATATATATATATATACATATATATCAAAAGATTTAAAGAGACGAAATCTTACGTTGATCGCCTTCCTTCTGGAAGACTGCGTTTGACACCCAATGATGATCGCCTTTTAATCAGGTTGGCAAAGAAAAATCGAACCATATCCTCGCATGAATTAAGAAGGGAATGGAAGCTTTGAAATGGACGTCAAGCATCGGGATCACTTGTGCGTAGGAAACTAATAGCTAACAATATGCTATGGAAAAAAAGCTGTTCTAAAACTGCGACTTACCAAACAACATATAAAAATCAAAAAGAAATTTGCCAAAGTGTGGTTTAAAGAAAAATGGAGGACAGTAATGTTCAGTGACGAGATGAATATTGAGGTTAATAACCGAAAAAACCGAATTATGATTTGCATGCAGCCTTCAGAAAAACATAATATCGATTGTATCGTTCAAAGAACAAAACAAGGTAGCGGTCGGTTGGAATATGTTGCTGCATGGCATATTATAGTCTTATTATGTTTAAATTATTTGATGGTCAACTTAACTCTATTTATTACATCGATATTTTAACAACTTGTTACCATCAATTGATGCATTTGAGCAAAGCATTCCGTTCATTTTTCAGCAAGACAATGCACGATGTCACAGGGCTAAAATTGAAAAAGCAAAAATATTGAGCGTCTAACTTGGCTACCAAAAAGCTCAGATCTAAATTGCATTGAAAATCTTTGGAGTTGGTTTGATAAAGAAATATATATATATATATATATATATATATATATATATATATATATATATATATATATATATATATATATATATATATATATATATATGTATATATATATATATATATATATATATACAGTGGCGGATCCAGGTCATTGTCCTAGGGGGGGGGGTGTAATTTAGCCAACAAAAAAATTCCACTTTTTTTTCTTTAGATAAACCACTTTTTTATTTGATTATTTAGAATATTTTTGGAAAAGTTTGTTACTAAATATATTGAATGTAGCTGTATATAAATATCTTGAAAAAATCAAAAGTTGAAAATAAATACTTAGTTTGTAAGGGACGGATTTTATTTTCACAATATGGCCCTGTCTGTAATGTGCAACAAAACACAAAATAATATCTATAGTATTTATATACTTTTTTTAATAAAGACTTTTTAACAAAGTTTTCAGCATTTATGATGCAATCTCTATGGATATGCATCATAGCTAAGCCATTTAATCGTTCTTGTCCTATATTGGATGTTAACCAAGTTTTAAGTCTTTTTAAAACCGAGAAACTCCGTTCTCCCGAAGCAACGCTAACAGGTAGGGTGCAAAGCAGTTGCAAAATAAATTTAATTAAAGGGAAGACATTACCATCACATTGCTTGTATGCTTCCAGTGCACATTCAGGTAGGTTTTGTTGCTATTTGATTGCGTCTTTCTATTTTAGCTCCCAAAATTCAAATTCTGAAGAAACTTGCATTAATTGGACATTTTCATCAACAGTATTTATATCGGACAGCCCTTTTATAAAACTCAATATATTAGTTATGGATGCTGTTAACTCTGTCTTTGTTTTATTTAATAAATTTCTAGGTATTGCAACATTTAATTCAAAAGAATTTAAAGTTTCATCAGAAAATCTGAACTGTAAATCTAGAAGTATGCTATCAAGTAGCGGTAAATAAACATTGACTCTATAGTAAGTTAGAGGATCATTGGTATTGAGGTTTGCGCGATTAGTTTGTTTTCATGTAATTCGTGGAATCTTGATTTTTAAACCTATACCTTCTATTAACTTTGATGCAGTCATAAATATAGAGTTCAAGTTTTCTTCTTTCTGTCGTCTTTTATTTAATATCTTTATGATATGTTTAAGAATAGTTTTTGCATATTCCTTATTCAATAATTTTTTTTGAAGAGCTTTACTTAAAGAGACTGTGGTATTTAACACATTAGCTAATGAACAAAGTTTTATTACAAATAAGGGCTCTGATGTTGCATTTTTTAGTAATGTAGCCTTTGTTGAAGAATCCCGTTCAATCCATCTTATTTCGCATAAGCTTGTAAGCATTCCCTTATTTGTATATTTAAGAACGTTACTTCGCTTCGGCGAACCTTTAAAAAATGATATTACTTCTTTCATTGTGTCACTTGTATTTTTTACAGCTCGCACAGACGAACATTTAGAAACTGATAAGTTTAAAGCATGATTGTAACATGGACTTTTTATTGCGTTTGGTAGGATCTTCTGTAATTTTGTGACAGCTCCGTTGTTTTCACTTAACATAAGGCTGCATCCATCAGTACCTATACCAATACAATCTTTTAAATTGAAGCCAAATTTTGTCAATGTGTTTGCAACTGTGTTTGCTAGCAATTCTCCTGTTAGTACAGGTTCATAAGTAAAATTAGAATAATTTTCAGTATGGCAGTTCACAAAACCAATGAAATCTTCACGGATTTCACAGGTATTAACATCAATATATCTTAATATGACTGTTATTTGAGAACTATGACTGGTATCCGTTGTTTCATCAAATATAACGCTATAAAATTTTCCTTTCAAAATTCTTGTTTTAATTAAGTCCTGAATTTGTTGGGCGCATAGTTCAATTATCGGACATTCGTATGTTCTGATGAAATCTGATGCTGCCAACATAGCAACTTTGTGGTACGCATTGCAATCATGTAATTGTAAGTCAGCATCCTTACCCAGCAAGTTTCTGTATATGTTTCTTTTTATCCGAGAAACATATGCAGAAACTTCTGTATATATTTCTCGGATAAAAAGAAATTAACATTCTTACCCTTCTTTAGATGCACAGAATATGGATATTTGTTATTTGGATCAGGAAACCAATTGCATTTCAATATTCGGTATTTATCTTTTTCAGTTACTTGACGTGTTAAAAATACCCCAATGTCTATGGGCAAACAGCTATCATCTTTTGTCGCGGGTATTGAATCTTCTTTATTAATGTCTGCGTTAATTTTTGTTTTTAAAATTAGCAGCTTCCATACCAAGTCCAGTTTCTGGAGAAAAAGTATTGAGTTTCCTTGTAATTTGATTATTTTCAGCCCCGCCAATAAATGCACAATTTAATCGTTCGGAAGATGACCCGGAGGATAGAGGCAAAACGATAGGACCAGCATGGCCCTGCATTGGTAGAATTTTACTTCTTTTGACAAAATAGTCATCTAAAGAGCTTGTCTTCTTTACCCTGTTGGTCATTGTAGCTAATAAAAATAATTTCATATTAAATAGTAAAATTCATTTGTTATTTATTTATTTAAAATAGTAATTAACATACTTTTGTTTTCTAAATAAGAAACTAATTCATAAGAAATTCATTCAGTTACTATTTAAAATAAATAATTCTTCGTATCTTATTTAAATACAACTTAAAGTGTATAAAAGCCAAGGCCGGCGCGATAGGGGGGTGTGGGGATGTCACACCCCCATCAATGATTCTTAGTCGGCAAACTGGACCCTTAGTCGGTAAATTGGACCCTTAGTCGGCAAATTGGACCGTTTTGACTAGTTTGTCGGCAAATGTCGACCCTTTCGATATAGGTTAGACAGTCGTCATGACAGTCGGCAAATTGTGGAAAACGAGGACCTTATTTTTTTTTTTTTTTTTTAGTCGGCAAAAGTTGTAATGGCACCCCCCCTTCCTAACGTGACACCTACTCGCGCGGCCCTGATAAAAGCGTAATATAAATTGAAATGTTACAATATCAATTGTTGAAAAATAAATACATTTTTTTATTGAAATTTTAACTACCAAAAACTGCATCACGTATATAAATTATACTACAAATTAAAATTAAATTAGTAAAAAAAAAACTTATCATTCAAACCAAACCTATATATATATTTAAGGTTTTTAAAAACAGTTTAAAAGGTTTTTAAAAATAGAACGATAGTAATTTTACTGTTTTCTATTGTTAGCTACTTATATAATAGGATGAATGAATGATGATAACATTCAAGTGTTTCGAAACTTTCTTCGTTTTTTCTTCGATATCGTTAAAATTAGCGTTGTTCACGAAAGCCAAAATTGAATTTTCGATTATAAAAAAAGTTTTCGAAACTCTATTTTCGTTTCGGTAAGTTCGAAATAATTTTAAAGTAATTAATTTTGCATCGAAACGATTTTTTACTTTCGGAATTGTAAAATTTGCTTCGAAATATATTTGCGATTTCGAAAATCGGAAAATATTACCGAAAAAAATTTTTACTTTCGAAATTTTAAATTTGCTTCGAAATATTTTTGCTATTTCGAAAATCGGAAAATATTACCGAAACAATTTTTTACTTTCGAAATTGTAAAATTTGCTTCGAAATATTTTTGTTATATCGAAATTCTGAAAATATTACCGAAAAAAATTTTTACTTTTGATATTCTAAAATTTGCTTCGAAATATTTTTTTGTTATTTCGAAATTTTTTTTTTTTTTTTTTTGGTACATGATTTTGATATTTTAATTACTCATAAGTTATTAGAAAATTTCCATATAACTGCTTGTATTTAAGACGAGTTTTTTAAGATAAGATTTTAAGGAATTTATATTTTTCAGGAGAGATATTGAGGAATTTTTTGGTATTAATTTGTTATACAAGTAAGGACCACGATATGCTATTGAGAATTGAGACAGTTTTCTTTTTTAAGGGGTACTATATAGTTTCCAGTTTCTCTAGTTGTCTAAATTCTGTCTAAATTCTTTTCTAAATTCTAAATAAGCCAGTTGCTCTAAATTCTGAAAGTATTACGCAATATACAAATACTACTATTAAAGTCTAAAATTTGCTTATATTTATTTTATTACTGAAATTATACAAGATTTTTTTAAAATGTTTTTATAAATAATTAAATTTTAAAAATTAACATAAAATAATTCTTAAAATTTTTGGTGTTACGGTACAGTGGTGGCAGAACTACCTCTCACTATTTTATATAACTACCTCTCACTATTTTATATATATAACTACCTTAACTTACGTCACAAAGTTACAAGTTAAAAATTATAAAGTTAAAAATAAAATACAATATTAGTTCTACACATATAAAACACAAGCAATAAATCGGAAAATTTTGTTTTTTTTTTGTTTTGTTTGTTTGTTTAAAATTAATAGTATATATACTTTATTTTAATGAGAAATAAATAAGATACACATCAAGACAACAATAAATGAGTAGTGATGACTTTTTCAGGTTTAATTATTTTAGGAACTTTTAAAAGAAATATTAAAATAAATATTGAAGTTTTTTTCTAATAGAAAACGTTTAGATGTTCTTTTGAATTGTTCTAAGGAGATGTTCTTAGAATTGTTCTTAGAAGAATTTTATCTTTAATAACGTTTTTTAAAAACTTTTCCATATAAATGGTCCACGGTATTGAATTTGAAATGAATTGAGTTTTAAATAAGATCTTGGAATAACAAAATTATCAGATGGGTATTAATGGGGTATTTCTGCAAAGTAAGAGTGAAATATATTAGGAGATAACGCATGTTTTGATTTAAACATATAAAGCATAACTAGGTATATATTAAGTTTATAAACATTAAGGACATTAAGTTTCTTTAAAAGAGATTCATCATTAACAGTTCTGTTAACGCCAAATATAATCCTGCATGAATGTTTTTGTTTGCTATAATTTTTTTTTGAGCTTCCCATAATTGGTACTTCCCCATGCAAGATTACAATAGGAAAGATAACTATGAATAGGTTAAGTTGGGGTACAGTGGATTGACGGGCACTGTGAATAAGTAGCATTTTCTCAAAGATTATGATTTTGTTCATCACGATGATGTAGTCAGTTTATGTGCGCATATATCACCCATCTTTATTTATAGGTGTTACCACATAATTTTTGACTCTAAGTTTTTGGTAGGTAATTTATGTTTTTAGCTAACTAAAGTAAATCTTCTTACCATCTTTATGTTTGTTGTGGAGATCATGGTTAAAATCATTTTATAAGTTAAACTTTTATATTCGGAATACTGATATTTATGCTATATTTTAGAAGTTTAGCTTTTCCTTTAATAACACTTATGTCCCAAGAAATTAAATCAGAACCTTATTTTTTATGGTGGGGCACAATGAATCGGGGTACCGTGAACCGGTTGATTCACTGTGAAAAAAATGTTTATAAAAATTAAAAATTCACTTTTAAAAATTTCTTTTGTTGTTGGTTGAATAAGTTTTAGTAGGTAAATTTTTTTTTTGTGATTTTAGATAGTTGAATAAGTTTTGTTATCAATAAAATTTATTCTTTATTTTTTCAATCAAAAAATTTAAATTATTAAATTTTAATTACCAAAAGTGCGCCAAAAGTATAGTGTACAATGTATTTACACCCTCATCCTCAAAATTATTTGGCTACGCCCCCATTAACTACCACTAAATTGCAAATGTGTTAATTGTTTCACTGTACCCCAGTACTGGGGTATAGTGAATCACTTAAAACAACTCACTTAGATAATAAATATTTAGGTTTTAGTGATTTCTTATCATGAAGGACATATTTCACAATCCTTTAGCCTTGACAAAGATAAAATAGGGTAGATTAGGGTAATATGGGCACCTTGGTAATATGAGCATACTTAAAGATTTATTAGATGTAAGCTGTGAAGTTAAAGTTGCTTTGTGTTTTTCGAATCAACTTTATGTGGTGATAACAGGAATCAGTTCAATTAGCGTAAATTTATATGCAGTAATTAGCGGACATCATCTAATTAAAACGCTTTTAAATTTTTTGCTTTGTTAAAATAATATCATCACACGTGAATAATTCTGTGGCGCAAAATTTTGGTGCTAAAATAATGAAATTTAATTTTTTCATAAAGAAAAATATATTAGCTAAAAATCCAATTCATTTTGGTTTGAAAAATAATGCATAGAAACATTTATTTTTGACTTTATTTAAAGATGCCATTTTTGTGTAATATGAGCATGCTCAAATTACCCAGTGTTTTTCATTGAAATTACTTAGTTTAAAGTCCTAAAATAGCAGTGGTTTTTAATTGCTTCTTGAATAAAAACAAAACATAGTAAAAAATTTTAATATTTTAACAATACTAAATATTTTTCTGAACTTAAATTTAAAAAGTTTGAATTTTTATTGTTCAAAGGCTTGAGTTAATAAAATTGAAAAAATAACGAATCAATTTTTTTTGTTGTGGAAAAACATATTAATATTGTTTCAACAAAATGTAACTTAAAATTTGATCTTTTAATGATAAGTTTTGTTAATCACGAATCCTTATATTCCAAAAATAAGTTATTTCATCAGGTTGGTCTTTTTTTACTTAATTAATGCTATTTTTTGAGCTAATTTAAAGTGCTCATATTATCAAGGGGTCTGGGTAATACGAGCACTTTTGCTACTTTTTTAAAACCTCTGTGTTTTTAAGAAAAAATGTCGGGTGCCCAAATATCTAAATGGATCATGAGTAGGGATCCTTAAAAATTGTTTATTCGCAAAAATTTTAGATCCAGCATATTTATTTTTGAAAATATTCTAATTTTCGCTTAAGGTGCTCATATTACCCTAATCTAACCTATATATTTTAACTTTCACTCAAATTAAAAAAGAAAGAAATCCGACCCACTGTGCCCCAACTCTCCCTAAATGAAAAATATATAAATTTCAA